GCCCGGGCTCACCGTGCCGGTACGGGACAGTAACAGAGCCCGGGCTCACCGTGCCGGTACGGGACAGTAACAGAGCCCGGGCTCACCGTGCCGGTACGGGACAGTAACAGAGCCCGGGCTCACTGTGCCGGTACGGGACAGGAACAGAGCATGGACGCACCCTAAAGCTGTGCCAGCTGGAAAGGTCGCTCTCTGTGTTTCACATCCATAGTAACATCATACCATAGGACTCTGGACACTGGCAAGGCCACCACACAAGGATGAGAGCAGAGAGGAAACTGAAGAGAGGAGAACAGAAACACTCTGGGAATTACAACAGCAGGGAGTATGGAAGGTAAAAGAAAATTAAATAAAAGGAAACAAAAATAAAGAGAGGATGATTGTTATTTAAAGGGCTGGGCGGGGAGGCGGAATCCGCCAGGAAAGTAGCACACACCAACTGCTGCTGGTGTGACGGTCCCGCTGCCGACAGCCACATTCAGGGTCTGGAAGGTCTCTAAGTGCCGGCAGCTCAGCCAGCTCAGCCCTCCCTGTCCCGGATCCTCCCACTGCGCAGGCTGCACACGGGCCGGCTCATCTCTCTGTTACGTGGTTCTGTGCGGCGGGCAGGGGTGTGCAAAGGACCTCTGACAAGTCGTCCATGATGGAGGTCTCCTTGGGGTCCACCAGGTTGAACTCCCTTACAAATACGATGAAATGTGCATAGAGCGTATTCAAGTGGCCCTGCAGCTCCAGTGCCACGCTCTCCTTAAAGTGCGCCCAGTAGATGTGAGCCAGCACATGGAACAGGTATCTGCAGATCTTCTTCACCACAGCTTCGAAAGCGCTGGGAAACTCCTTACCTACATCAGGGGGCAGAGAGCTCATGTCATCCTTCACTCTACTTCAATGTGCTATTTTACAATCTGCAGACAGTCACGTACCGTATTGTCCGTGGTACACATGACCATGGCACTCTGGCTGACCCAAAACAGCCAGGGGAAACAGAACTTCATCTGTCTTACCATATTTTGTGGGGAAGATGTCTTCGTCTGTCACCAGCTTCTGAACCAGACTCATGACGAAGTCTACATATTGTGGGGCTGTACATTTTGTCTTCTTTCCCTTCTCATCATACCAATGATATATCCTGAGACAGAGAAAGACAGAGAATGCATCTGAGAAGCTGCTCTGCCCTGAGCTGCCATCTTGCATAGCAGCTGTCGGGCTCTGGCTGCAAGGACCCAGGGCCCCGGTTGGCTTTGGCGATTAGGGGGCCTAATCTCGCCTGCAAATGACGCGCCATTCCTCATGGGCACATTCCCAGACCGGCACTCGTGTTCCCAGATGCCCCCCCACCCCACGCCACGCCACGCCACCCCACGCTGTAGACATGCACGCGAGGCTTCTGGATGGGACACAGTAGATGCATGTTCCTACGGGCCCAACGTGGGGCCAGAGGCTAAACACTCAGGCGACAGGAAGGAAGCCTGTTTATGTGTGAGGAACCCAAACGGCAATGAAGAGGCAAACCCAGTTAGTTCACCTAATACTTTATTTTAAACTGATCTTAAGGCCAAACCGCAGTTGAGCACATGCTGACAAAGAGTGCCTAATACCCTGCTATTTGCAGGCTACATATTTTTGGCTTTTCTTTTGCCTGCAGTAACTTTCTGAAAGCCAACAACATTGTGGCAGGTCAAGCAGACCTGCTGCTTTCTAATACCTTTGAATTGTCATGTTTTTCTGGGATTAAAAGGGGCCACAATACTTAATAATTCATTACTGTATTAGCTACAAAAAGTGTTTTTAATGAGATTGTTGTGGGGGGGGGGGTCTGTGAATCACTTGGTTGATTTTCGTTCCTCACCATTTTAAGTAGCATTGTGTGTTAACAGGCCTAATACACTGTAATAAATGGAGGCCTTACAAGACAAACTCAAGCTCTCCCTTCTACAGGCTGCTCAAAACCCAAGACCATAGATCACAAACAGTGAACAGAAACGTGCCAGACTCACGTGCTGCACGCCGTCATGGCCTGACAGGTCTCTCCAGTGCAGAACTCGGAGATTGTGCTGTACTGCAGATTTATGAGATTGAAGAAGGTTGTCGCTGTAAGGAAGCGTGAACAGAAGAGGGCAGTATTAGGTCAGTGACAGACACACACAGCCAGTTAATAAAGCGAAGCCTCCTCTACATGTGTCTTAAGCCCTGTCATGCTCTAATAAGGACCCCTGCTGGTAAAAGCCATGATGCTGAACAGAAAAGGAGCCGGCAACTTCAAGGATAATAATGGCGAAATGGTATGAAGGTATATCGGTATTCCACACAACCACGTTTGGCAGTGTGATAATAAACTAGCTGAATACAACCGGATTTGAATGATAGATGATGAATATGAAGAGCCTGGGCTTCCTGTAAGGCAGCGTTTCCCTTACAGCAAACACAGGGACTGCGTGGGGATCCCAGAGCTTCGGGTTAAGAAACACTGGCTTAAGGTGTTTAATAATCAGGTGTTTTCTTTGAGAGCCAGTCGGGACCTACTGTTGCTGGCGAGCCATTCATTAAGGTCGATCTCTCGGGGCAGCACCACCAACTCCTTCAGGTCAAAGTCCACCACCCGTGCTTTGGTGTACTCCGACTCCAGGTAAGGCTTCTTCTCCTCTGTCGGTGCCTTTTTCCCATTGGGCTTCGCCTTGGACTTCCTGTGAGTAACAACCAAAAAACAAAAATGGAGGGGGGGGGGGGTATGTAAGCGGCATCCTAAAATGACAGTGTGGTGTAGAGAGAAAGTGTGAATGTCACACAAAGGCTGATTCACTGATTGAGGAAATGAAAGGCCCAGCCTGCACAGAATGCCGTTAACTGCCGCTGGTGAAATTCGCATCCTGTCTACGGGACTGTTTGCTTTTGTTGTGTGGTACTGACCAGCGGGGCTGAAGAGAGACCACAGTCAGCCCAAGTGACCTAAGGGTGGCCCCTTGGTATCAGGAGCAAGGGGTACTGCCTGCCCCAGAGGGCCGTCCATTTTACTTCCAGTGCTATTTTTAGCAGTGATGTGTTATATTAACAACACCCCGCCCCAGAGACACCAGCCACATCCTGCAGTACACTGGGAGCACTGGGAACCTAGGGACGAGCAGTAAACTCCACAGAGCACAGCAGTGCAGCACCAGAGCCCCATATTCTATATCTTAGTCAAGAGAACAAAGACTTGAAACTAAACACAAACATTTTTCTCTGCCAACTGTCCTTTTATAACCCATATAACTTCGGCCAATAAAACCAAGCAAAGACAAGGGAATCTAGTCACTGTGCCCCCCGGTGTCCCCAAGGGTCTAAGAACCCAAGGCACCATATGCTGTGGGCCCTGTAACATCCCGTTAGGTCACGTGACTCCATAAAAGTGGCCTTGTGCATCTCAGTGAGTCAAAATAAATGAACAGCATTCGGCTCAGAGAGCACAGCCGGCATGACTTTCCACACAGGACCAAGGGCCTCTAGTTGACGTTCCCAGCAAACAGTAACAGCGAGGGGTCATGTGTGGCCCAGGGCACGTGCTGTGGCAGGACAAAGGAGGCTCTGTGTGTGCAGTAGCCACACAGTCGGCCTTCGGAGTCCACATACCCAGCCTGGGCCTGTACTGTGCGGTGCTATTGGTCTAGCCAAGGGCGGCTCAGTCTGGCCCAGACAGACCCAGGACTCACTACGCTCCAGAGCATGCAGTTATGTACACAGGGCTCAGCTTCCCAAAACACAAGCCACTGCATGCTCAGGGGCTCCCCCGCCACTAAACATGGACGCATTGTTAACTAGCTCATCCCATAGACAGCAGCCTGCTGGCAAGTGGCCACAGTTCTTATGTAGACTCATTCACTGAGGGTTGCCAATACATTACCATTAAAGTCATTATGACCAGCTGTGTGAGTGATCTGGCCATTGTGTAATATCAAAACCAAACTACGGCCAAAAGCCCATGCGTGTTGTAAGACCAGGGATTAAACTGCTCAATTAGCTTGCTTCTAGTTACATTGTGCTGCTCTGCTGCACTGCCGAACTGCACTGCTGCACAGCCCAGAGAGCCGCAGAGCACAGCAGAAATGCAGTGCTGCTCTCAGCCCGATTCTGACCTTTTCATCTCCACCCTACGTCTAAACAAAACTCCCATTTCTGGTCCTTTAGAGAGACTGCTTCAAATTTCTTGAACAACAAGGCAGAGAAACCCAGGAAGGTCCTTGCCTCTCCAGGTTTAAGCTCCTGTGTGTCATATACACCTCACTGGAGGAGCCTCTACAGCCATATGCTTCTGTAATAAACCAAAGGAGACCTCAACACTTCTGCCAACATATATACAACACACATACACATACACACACACACACACACACACACACACGAAGGAGAGGCGAAGACAGCAGGCTCTATTTATGAAGGTATGCTCCTTTGCCAGTCAGAGACCAAAGCGTGCTGCGACTGGGACCTGTAAACCTTCAGCTTGCTTTGGAAACTTCAGCGTGGACATTTCCCCTCACACCCCCTTTTATCCATAAAGGATCTGAAAGTCAGCCATCAAGGTGATAAGCTGGGCAATCATTTACAGAAAAAAAAACCTTCAAATAGTTGTCTTATCCAGCTTGTGGACCTGCAAAGCAAATTTCAGCTGTAGACCACAATGACTTTTTTGTGATGAGAGGGTCTAGATGACCACTTGAGGCTCAACCATTGACACTGTAAAATAGTTGAGTCCAAATTCGAGGGGAAGATGAAAGTAGGAAGAAATACTCTTAAGAAAATTGAGGAGATCAAGCTCCTTGAGGTGCAGAACTCACCACCAAAGCACTGGCAGCTCTTAAACATCACCATAAATATCACCCTTATGAGATCAGTTTTACCATTTAGGATTTTAGCATGGCTAAAACAGGTTAGGTTCCAGGCAAAAAAAAAAAAATTCCCAAAAAATTTCCAAAAGATCTATGTAACAATGAAATGGAATCCAGCACAAATATTGCACTTCAACAGTATGTGCCAGAACTTGCAGGACGCTTGCAGTCTACAATGTGTAGACTGATACTTCATGGGTCCTTTGTGAGAGTAGACAGAGAACATTGGTTTGAGCACTTTAATATTAGACGTATTTTTTGGTTGCTGTGGTGGATGCAGGCATCTTATGACTGAACAACAGAACAAATGACCTCCCATCAATTTATCCATTTCCCATAACCACTTATCTAGTGCAGGGTAAGGGTGAGTTTGGAGTCTATCCCATTAAACACAGGGCGCAAACACGGGGGACACCTTGGATGGGATGTCAGGACAAACAGACAAAACAGCAGACACAACATGAAAACTTCAGATACCCTAATCCACCTAAGACTTGATAAAAGCATAATAAAGTGAGGACATGCAGAGGGGAATATACAAACCCCATTAACAAACCAGGGGTAGAAAAACAAATCCATAACTCAGAAGGAGAAGGGAGAGGTCTGTCATTTTTATTGAATTAATTTAGGTTGAGGCTCAGCACCTTATGAAGCACAAGAGGAAGTATATTGGACCGACCAAATAAATAAGAATAAGACCATGTTATTTTGGATATGCACTTACTCAAGATGGATGAACTGAAGGATGGATGGAGCAAAAAAACATATCAACATAAAATCAGTGAACATAACTAGGCAAGTATTCAAACAAGAGCTGCTTGCATCCCTCTGGGATTATTGCATGTTGTGTCCTGTCTTATTTCCTGCACCGATGGTGAAAGAATTCATCCTGTGTTCCCCACCTATTTGTGCAAGTTATATCACACAGATGTGGAGATGAAAGATATGTTACTGCAGGGTGGATAACGGGCTTTGGCCCAGTACATTCCTCTTGATACTGAAAACAATCAGCGCCATTATAAGTTTTTTGACCAGCACTGCAGAGGTGTGCCATTTCTGTGGACCAAGACATCTTGAGTTCAGGAGAAACTTTCACCTACCTAACTCTCATGCCCTCCAAGGACTGGCATAGACCATGATTGCTAATTACATATGGTGCTCTGGAGCCATTGTGACGTGAATGTGTCTGCTTCCTGGATCATATCAAGGGGCCTCAGGAACGATGCCCCGAGCCTTAAGCAGTCAGCACCTTACCGCACCTCTGCCACCCTTCCCAGCCCCCATCCAAAGTACTTCCAGACAGGCGAGGATGATTTTGGCCTTTGTCCACAGCCCCCTGTCCTGGGCGGGAGGCACACACTGCCTTTTATGGTAAATATTTCTCCATGAGAAACCACTAACCAGGGCAGTTGCCATAAGGTGGCAGAGTTGGGGGGAGGGGTTGCTTTTCTTTTTCTTAAAATAAACTAATGGTTTAGGAATTCCCCTCATACCACAGCAAGGAGGCGGCTATAAGGGGAAAAAACACACAAATTAGGGAACCAGGCGAACAAAGAACCATCGTTTAAGAACAGCAGCTTTAATTTTTAAAGCAGCCAGAGTTAAGATTCCATGAAGGGCAGCGGACATGTACACTTCGGCATGTGGCCCACGGCCAGCCCCGGGACGGGTATGGGAGGCAGCAGGGGTCGGGCAGAGCTGGCAGGAGGGGGGCTCCGGCACGTATGCAGAACACTCCAAGTACCTATGGGCCCTCAAACTGATTCAGGCGCTTAAAGATGAAGAGCTATATGTCAATGCCGACTGCTAGTCAAGCCAGACTGCAGGGCCCTGAGCTACCAACTAGAAACTGTTTGTTTTATAATTTTTTATTTTTTTTTAAAAAAGGTGACTAGTCAAGATATGGATATCTGACCCCTGCAGAGCTCAAAGGTGGGTAAACAGTGTGCTAGTAACCATGCGGCAGGGTTACCAAACTCCATCAGTCAGGTGTTGGTTTTCCACTGGTGTAAAAACTGGTACCGGTGCCCAATATCACAATGCGAGATGGGGTATTTTGTACTGAATTCAAAAAATGGCAGCAGTATATTATATGGCAGGGTGATGTGCAATATTAATAGCAACATCGCATGTTATGCACGTACAATTCTTACAACGCCAGTCAGCTATATTAAAATAAGACTTACTTTCAATTCTGTATGGACATTATCGCGAAGGGGGTTTAAGTTTCACTACAATATTTTTACTCTGTTACTCTGTCGTAGAAAAACAAAAAAAACTTTTTTTTTTTTTAATCAGTTTAAAAGTTGACCTCCAATGTTTTTGCATGAGTGCTGCATGCATTCTCAGACACAATCGTAATCATTTTCACCCTTGCCCTTTAAATCACTGACAGTGAAGAATTATATTAAAACAAAATCACATAGCTATATTTATAACAAAATCACATCACTATATTTATAACAAAATCACATCACTAGGACAGCATGCTATATGCATGCTGTATTAGTATGTTCAACAAAATACTTCATTTCTTGTCATGCCATCTGGATCTTTTTGTTGTACATGTTCTCATGACCAAATCGCATTTCTTTTTTTTTTTTTTACTTCATTTATAATTATTTTATGAGTTTGCAACTGTCTTCAAGGCGGTCTTTGTATTGTGTTTCAGCGGCAGGCTTACCAATCGACAAAAGGAAGCGCTTGAAGTCCCACCCCAAAGTGCTGAAGTACCAAAGAAGTACCCCTGCTGGTTTGGCACTTTCGGTACTGGAACTTTTGGCACTGGTACTCCACCGTAAGTCAGTGGAAAAGCGAAAGTACCA